GAGGTGTCGCGGAAGTTGTAAACTGCTGTCGATCTTGCTGTGATCCCCTAGGAAAAGGTTATGCCCCGCCCTGTATTTTAAGCATTTGTTTTTAACCAACTATTTCATATTTGCTCTCTTTATTCTAAAACACGTCTGCAGGATGTTTCACTGAAGACAAAGGAAATCTTGACAAATCTGGCTTCATTCACAGAAGTCATTCATAATGGTGAGAAACCATCACTTAACTTAGAAGCACTGAAACAGAAGCGATTCCCACCAGCAACGGAAAATTTCCTTTATCATTTGGCAGCTGCTGAACAAATGCTTAAAATCTGATGTTGTGAATAAACCTCAGTGGAATACTTAAAAAACAAAATCTTCTTTACTATAATGCTTATGTAAAGAATTCTGTGGAAGGTTGGTTTTTTTAAAAATATACATTTCTGGAGAGGATAAACAATGATACACACATCAGTGTTCCATCAAACATTGACTATAGTATACCATTGTCAGTTCTTCCTACAAAAAGCTTGAAGACACGATGGTTGAACTGTACATTAAGGTGAAATAGAAATTGCCAAGCCCAATCAGTACCCGAATGGAAATCAATAATCAAATTATTAATGACATGAACATTCTTAGAAGTACACAAATTAAATAAGCTGCCTTCAATTTGGCACATCTAAGTACTGTGTCTTGGGAACACAGCCTTCAGGATTCCTAGCAGACTGCCCCTATTCCAGTTAGCACAACCATAACTTGCAAAGAGGCTGAAAGTTAAAGCTTCAGTTGCATCAACTAATACTCTGAACGTAAGAGTCTATGGAGATTCTTAGTCATCCAGATCATGGTTGTCCCCAAAGTGCTATTTCAGAGGCAACTGAACTTTCTGGTTTTTCTTTGAAGACATTTCTGAAGACCTGAAGAAGCTTCTTGGATGAGAAGTGAAATGTCTTCAGAGAAAAACCACAAAGTCCAAAGTTGCCCCTTGAAAAAGGACCTTTGGGTATGAACCTAAGAGTTGTATATGCAATGTAACTTCCCACAATCAATCTCTGGATGTTTGACAGATTACATCTATTGGCTACACTGCCAAATATTCAATGTGCCTGCTAGCCATATCACATATAGGTGAATTTTGGGGGTTTTTGTGATAAAGAATCCTGATTTGAGTTTGGGAGCCTTTTACTTATAAAACAGTCCTATTGAATAGGACAAATATGTATATTAATATATCCAGTAGCTGCTGTTTTTTGGGAAGACAGCTATACAATTCTCCCCCCCGTCCTTCTTTTAAGGGACCAGGTTTAATTTTTTCCTCCTTCTGTTTATCTTGAGCTACTCTCCTCGTGGGTTGTAAGATGTCAGCATCTATCTGATATTTCGCAGAATGAATATAGGGCTGGATTTTTTTATTGCTTAACTTTGCCTTTCATTTCAATAGCCATTGACATTTGGCTGTACACATTTTTGTGAGAATGTTAATTCAAAACTCTATTATAAAACTAAGGTTTGTAAAAAAAATAAAACTAAAAAAATCCATTAAAAATCTGTTAGAGCCTATGCAGTAGCACTTTGCTTTTAAAATTGACATTTATGATTCTTGCTTTCAAAAATATATACCCTTGCATGCGATTGTAGACTTTTTTAAAAAATTAAACACACTTATTTCTACTAATATTTTATGAAATACTGTTTAATTATGATCAATGATGTATACTAGCAATATTGAGAATCTTGTTTTTTATTTATGAGTGGCATATATGTAATATAGGAGAATGTGCAATTATGATTTTAAAAAATCTAAATGAGGATATGAATATGAGCAGAACACCTCCTATTTTCAGGAACGTGCCACTCACTTTTGTACAAAAATATATGATTTTAAAATCTAAATGAGGATATGAATATGAGCAGAACACCTCCTATTTTCAGGAACGTGCCACTCACTTTTGTACAAAAATATATGATTTTAAAATTTAAAAACCAACTTAATTTAATTTTATATGACTATTTTTTTCCTTCATAGTATTCTCTTTATCGTCAATGTGTGGATGAAATACAGAATATTTCCCTTATCAATCATCATTTAAAATCAATACATCCTTGTATTATTATTATTATTTTGTTATAAATGTGTTTTTATTTTT